AGCTCAGTATAGGACAGGTTTCATAACTATTGTGCATATGGTTACTGTGAGTAGCAGACAACTTGACAGCACAACAACAACATTCTAATTTGATCACCTTTCTTGGGAATGGAAATGAATATGGATCTCTTCCAATCAGTTGACCAAATTTCTTGGCACAAGCTTGTGAGGGTCACATCTATTTTTGGAATATGCCAATTGGTATTCCATCAATTTCTAGGACCTTATTTTCGCCAGTGCCTTCAGTGTAACTTGTACTTACTCCTTCATTACTACTGGCTCTTGACCACATTCTACTTCTTAAAATGGTTCCATGCATTGCTGCTGTTGTTGTTGGGTGCCACTGAGTCCAGTAAAACTCACAGAGACCCTGTGAATAGCTGATCTGAAACCTACCCTAGCCTGTGCCATCCTCATTATCTCTGACATATTAGAGCCCACTACTGAAGTCACATTGTCAATCTCTCTTGCTGGGGGGTGGGGTCTTCTTCTCCTTTGATAACCTAGGCATGATGTCACTTTCTAAGGACCAGCCTCACCTAGCTACATGTCCAAAGTATGAAAGACAAAGCTTTACCATCTTTGCCTCCAAGGAGTACTTTGGCAGAACCTTTCCTAAGATGTATCTGTTTATTTTGTTGGCAGTTTATAACATATTCAGTATTTTTCTCCAGCATCACAATACAAAACCATCAATTATTATTCTGTCATCCTTCAGCTCTCTGATGCATAGCAGGTAATTGAGAAGACCATGGCCTGAATCAGATATACCTGTTTTCATTTTGTAAAGAACCTTGACAGTCGATTTGCCCAATGTAATATATTTCCTCATTTCCTGAATGCTGGTACCAAGGGTGTTGTTTGTTAATCCAAGCAAGATGAAATTATTGACAGCTTCATTCATTCCACTGTTTATCATAATGTTGAATATTTTTTAGTCCTGTCTTAAAGACCTTTATTTTCTTGAGGTTAAGATGTAGTATAATGAAGTCCTTGATCTTCTGCAGCAGCAAGTGCTTCATAACCTCACTTTCAGCAAGCTAAGTTTTTTCATCTGCATGTTGCAGTTTTTAGATGAGTCTTCCTCCACCCTGGTGCCGCATTTTGCTTCAGAGTCTGACTTCATGAATTATTTGCTCTGTGTATAGAATGAATATATATGGAGAAAGGATACAACCATCATGCACACCTTTCTTGATTTTAAACTATGCAGTGTTTCCTTGCTCTGTTTGGACAACAGCCTGTTGATCTAGGTCTAGGTTTTGGTTTTTTTTTTTAAATTTTTTTATGATTATTTTTTGTGTGTGTACTGTAAAATCAGATCTGTCTGGTACAGGAGGAGATTGTCCCTCCATCTCCAGCAAAGCATCTGGTGGATTCGAACCACACACCTCTGTGCAGCTTCTTGCCAGTAGGCCACCAGAGCTCAAGGTCTAGGTTTTATATTAGCATAGTTAAGTCTTTTGGGATTCCTATTATTCTTAATTGTAGCCATAATTTGTTATGATCAACACAGTCAAATGCCTTTGCATAATTAATAAAACACAAATAAACATTCTTCTGCTATTCGCTCTCAGTCAGGATCCATTGTACACCAGTAATAGCTCTCATGTCACAGCCTCTTCTAAACCCAGCTTGAACTTGCAGTTCCATGTGAATGTACTGCTCTAGCTGTTTTTGAATGATTTTCAACAATGTTTTGCTTGTATATTAATTATATTGTTTGATAATTTCCAAATTCTGTTGGGCCAGCTTTCCTAGGAATGGGGACAAATATTGATCTCTTCCAGGCAGTCAGCCAGGTAGCTCTCCTTCACATTTCCTGGCATAAATTGGTGAGCATATCCATGGATACATCTGTCAGCTGAAGGACGTCAGTTGGTATTCAATAGATTCCTAGGGCCTTCTTTTTTATTAAGGTTTTCAATGCAGCTTGAACTTTATCCTTTGCTCATATGGCATATTATTGTGTTGTTGTTATGCATCGTGGAGTCGCTTGCGACTCACAGTGACCCTATGAACAACAGCCCTAAATTCTGCTCTGTCCTGTGCCAATAGCACTGTCTCCAATGCAACCATTCCAATTATCCCAGTCACTGAATCAATCCACCTCACAGAGGGCCTTCTCCTGCTTCACCGTCCCTCTACCCTCCCAAGCATGATGTCTGTCTCCAAGGGCCAGCCCCTCATTACAACATGTGCAAAGTATGTCAAACGAAGCCTCAGAATCCTTGCCTCCAGGAAGCAGTCTGGTTTAACAATTTCCAGGAGGAATCTTTGTTTTCTTAGCAGTCCATGATACCCTCATATTACTCTTCTCCAGCACCACAGCTCAAAGGCATCAATTCTTCTATCTTTCCTAGTCATTATCCAACTCTCTGACACATAGCAAGTGATAGCAAAGACCATGGCCTGTATCAGACACACCTTAGCCTCCACAGAGACACCGTTGTTCTTCAGTACTTTGGAGTGGTCCCTAACAGCAGACTTTCCCGTAGAAATACATCTTTTAATTTCCTGGCTGCTGGTGCCAAGATGGTTGACTGTGGCATTGAGTCACTATATATCACTGCTGACTCAGTGACAAAAACCATATGCTTATCTTTGATTAAATGGCTATTTAAGTTGTCCTTTCTCCTTTTTATGAGACTTTTTTACCTTTTGAGATTAACTTATTAGGATTCTTTTAATATTATAGGTATGAAACTTTTACCAAAATTCCCAAATTTTTCTCCCATTCTTTATGTTGTCTTATCACTTTCTGGGTAATATCCTTTGATTCACTTTTTATGAAAAAAAAAATGAAGTCCTATAAATCAATTTTTTTGAAGTCTTGGTCTTTAAGGATTTGCACTGCCCTGGGATCAGAGTGGCAATAAAAATGTTTGGTTAATGAGGAGCTTTGGATATTTAGCCCTTGGGAATACAGAGACTGCAAAAGACTGCCTGGGACCGCCTCATGAAACAATCTTCCACTGTCAGGAAGCAGCGCATCTGAGAGAGTTAATATTCACGCAAAGAAACCTTACGTCTCACTCAATCATTCCCTGTTTCCTAAGGACACATCTTCTACATCCAGGGAAGATGTAATGTTTCATTCCTCAGCGATACTAGTCAGGCAACTTAATATCCTTTCGTTAATGTTTTGAAATGAGGACAAGGATTTCACTGTCGCTTCATCCAGGAGAGGCTGTGATGACAGGTAATACATACATAAAATTATTCAATTAAGTCAGCCAATAACCTCTATCTATGTTCCATCTTTCTGGCTTGTTTCCTTTTATCCTGACTACTGTCTGTAAATGGTTTTTTTTTTTAATTTTAATTTTTTTAATTTATTTATCATTTTTTTAAATGAACCCTCTCGATTTACTTGGATGTGATCAGCTGTAAGTAAAATAAAAGCAAAACAAAAAAGAGGCGAAGATAGAGTAGGAACTGCAGGGGAAATGGAAAGTAATTTTTTCTTTAACTTTTATTGACTAGTTTGTGTTAAATTTAGGTCGAGTATCGATTATCTTTCCAGCCTGATCTTGCACAGTCTTTGATATTTCGCTCCCTCTCCCTCTCCCTCTCTGCCTCTCCGTCTCTGCTCCTAGCTCGCTCGCTCCTGCACACATCCCCTCATTCCGACCATCTCTTCCGCTCTGCCCCCCTGTCTGTAAATTCTTGTTCTACCAGTCTCACAGTTTCTTTCCAACAGCAAGGACCATTTTCATCCTGAAGAAAATCCTGATCCTTCACATACAGTATGGCTGTTAAACAATTCAATGGCCTATTATTTTTGTGATAGGGAAGGACAAAGGCTATCAGTTTCACGTCACATTCACACTACTGGTTATTAACACTTTTAAAAATTATCATCATTATTATTGTTATATATGTTGCCTTGGAACTGATCTCTTGGGAAAGAGATGAGATCTAATACATACTTGCCAGAAAACTGCCTTACTCTGTATGTTTCTCTTTGTAGAATTGCACATTATGCTGAGTGAAATATCTCAGTCACAAAAGGACAAATACTGCATAGTGCCATGGTTGTAAAATGGTACTGACATCGGGGTTGGGGGAGACCGAGAAAGAGGGGATAAATAATGTATACTGTATTATTAAAACAGATGAGGGGGAAAACTGTTTGAAAAGGATATATGATTAGGTATTGTCATGACAGGTGTCCAGAACAAAAGCTGCATAGTGGAGTGGACTTGGAGGGAGGGATTGAATAACAATGAAAGAATTTTTCTTTTACTTTTCAAGAGAAGAGCGAACCAGGAGGCAGGGGATGGGTAGAGAGAAAAGTACAACAATGAATGAATGGAAATCCAAAGTCCCTGTAAACTTTCATTAAAATTTAATAATAATAATAAAATTGCACATTTAAAATTATCCTAGGAATATATTCCTATTATCATTGCTATGTGCCATCAAAACAATTTCAGTCCTATAAGAACAAACTCATAGCTGACCTTCCAGTGGTTTTTCAGAGGCCATAAGTAGTATGAAGAGGAGATTGTCCATCCTGAGGAACAGCTGGTCGATACAAACTGCAAGCCTTTGGGCTGGTGACCAGCTCTTTACCAGTAAGCCAAGAGAATAATATATTTAAAAACAAGCTAACATTAAATATTAATACCTCCTTACCCTTTTGTTAATTAAATAAATGTTTCTATCCAGTTGTTGTTATTATGCTCCATCAAGTTGCCTGCAACTCATAGCAATCCTGTGTACAACAGCCCTAAACCCTGTTCTAGCCTGTGCCAATCTTATTGTCTCTGACACACCCATCCCCATTACCCTAGTCATTGAACCAATCTATCCGGTTACACTTGAATTCTTTCTTATAATAACCAAATGGCATTTGCACGAAGACATGCTTTCATTCCCCACTATTCCTTCTCCCTTCCCTCAGATGATGTTTGTTTATCTCTGGTGTTGCTGCTATTGGCCTAAGCCACAACTGATTGTTTTGTCACCCCATATTTTTCAGATATAGCAACAATATGGAACCTGTAAACCAAACAAGAGTTTCCGAATTCTTTCTCCTTGCACTAACAGAAGAACTGGAACTGAAGTCTCTCCTCTTTATTCTATTTCTTTCCATATACATGATCACCGTCTTTGGAAACTTTCTCATTGTTCTGGCTGTTGGGTCTGACTCCCACCTCCACACTCCCATGTACTTCTTTCTTGCCAATCTATCCTTTACAGATATCTGTTTTAGCACAACTACTATCCCAAAGTTGCTAGTTAACTTCCAAACACAGAATCAGAGCATCACTTATTCAGGTTGCCTCACACAGCTCTGCTTTGTCCTAGTTTTTGCTGCTTTAGAAAATTTTCTTCTAGCAGCTATGGCCTATGACCGCTATGTGGCCATTTGTCACCCACTGAGATACATGGTCATTATGAACCCTCGCTTTTGTGGCGTGCTGACTCTACTGTCTCTGTTCATTAGCACTGGGGATGCCCTTCTGCACAGCCTGATGGTCTTGCGACTGTCTTTTTGCACAGATCAGGAAATCCCCTACTTCTTTTGTGAAATTATTCAAGTCCTCAAGGTTGCCTGTTCTGATACCCTCATCAACACCATCTTCATTTATTTTGCAGCTACTATCTTGGCAGGTATTCCTCTCTTTGGAATCATTTTCTCTTATACTCAAATTGCCTCTTCTGTTATGAGAATGTCATCCAGTGGGAAGTATAAAGCTTTTTCTACCTGTGGGTCTCACCTGTCAGTAGTTTTCTTATTTTATGGGACAGCCTTTGGTGCATACATTAGTGCTGCATTTATACAATCATCCAGAAAGACTGCAGTTGTCTCAATGATGTACACCATGGTTACTCCTATGATGAACCCTTTCATCTACAGTCTGAGAAACAAAGACATGAAGGGAGCCTTGAGGAAATTTTTCAGAAGTGTATCTACTTTTCAGTGATTGTGTAAATTTCTAGATTAAATCAAAGTAGATTACTCAGGAGGCAAACTATCTAGCCCTCGAGCCCTGTTAAAAATATTTGGTGATAATAAAGGTTGAGTAAAATTCAATTTAGTATTGAAAACTGACTTTGCCTCCTGGGTACTTTATAATGTTTGAAAATTATTTCAATTCTTTAAGGTCAATTTCTCTGGTGTGGTTATAGAGAATTAGAACCTAAAGTAAGGGGTTTTGTGTTGACTGATTTTAGAAGAACATAATTAAAATAATTTTTAAAAAAACAGAAATGTGTAGATAGGGTTGGAAAATAATGTAAGAAGACTGTGAGCTCAGGTAGATATAAGTTTGATTACATGGATCAATCCATGCAAATAGAAACCTGGTTAGTCCCAGTGACAGGCATGTCTCATGGATTTTTATGCATCAATTTAATTATTACATAGACGTGTCAGTAAAATCTACACATCTAATGTAAAATATGCAGCCACCCACTCATTCCCACATTTACTATTGTTGTTGAGCATGTTTGGTTGTTGTTGCTGAGTTGGTCATGAAATCAAGCAACTTAATTGAGCCATTATTATTGGTAGTGTTTTCACTGGCTATTTTTTCATAAACATTTTGCAAT